GAGGGCGAGAAGTTCACTTCTTCCCAACTGATCTTGTTCTTTAAGCATCAGCTTAAAGTCAAGATTAGGACGGAAAGGCGGCGGCTCACCTCATCAGAATTTGGCAAAAGGTGGGTGAATCTTGCGTGTATGTGCCGAGTAAAAGGGGCTGACCTTGAGTGGCATTTTGATGCCGGTTAGGCATTAGGATATTGTACCCATCCCGAAATTAGGTTAGTGTAGGTCTTTTTTTTTGATTTTTAGTTTTTCTGTAAACTTAGCTAGGGTGTGTTTGCTCATTGGTCCCTTTTATTTCTGTTCCCATTTTTTTCCTTAGTTTAATTCCCCATCCCCTCCCTCGTTTAGATGGTCAGTGATGTCGGTTCTCTGGTGGGTGCGGGGCGCCTTTCGTTTCGCGTGTGTTTTTCGTATTTGTTGTCGTGTATGAATGAGTGTGTGCCTGTGTGAATGCTTGAGAGGAATGAATGTCTCCTTTATTTTCATAGTCCCGCATCGATTTCGTCCGGTTAACTGATATTTCTGCCACATTTAAAGTTTGTCGGGGGGTTTTATTACTAACACTAATTTTTGTTTGGTTTCTTGTAAATATTTTTTGTCATATTGCATATACTCATTGGGGATCCTTTTTAAAAATTGTTGTTTTTATGCCCCCCCCCGACAATATTTATATATAAGGGGAGTATTTAGGATTTCATTGAGTCAAAGAGGTATTTTGGTGGATGTAGTAAGGAAGGTATGGATAAATGTGTTGTTTTGGTGAAAGGAATATTGTTTTGTATGATAGGGTCAGTGGTTGTGGCTAGCTAAGTTTTATATTAAGACAAGTGATGACCGTCCTTTACCCCAATCCCCTTTTTGGCCTTGTGCCACATTTGTTGTATTTTTTACAATAATAAATATTGCTGTATTAAAGTTGAATAAAGCTTACCAAAGTTTATTCGCCTCTGATTATTCATTACAATTTATTCAACTTTAAATAATGGAACGATACCTAAAAGCCTGACCGCCTGGAACTCGATACTTCAGACCCTGACTCTAGTGACAAATGGCAACATTGGAGGGATATGTTCGAGGATTTATTTTGGAGCTGCAGTCTTCTTCTACGTTGGCATTGACTGGCTCACAGAAATTAACCCTCTTATTACACCATGTTTCTACTCCCATTTATAAGTGTTTGACTGAGTGTCAAAATTACGATACTGCTATAAGCACTCTGGATGGTATGTTCATTAAGAAGAAAAACTCCATTTTGCAAGATACTTACTTGCTACTCGGCGTCAAGAGACTGAAGAAAGTCTAGAGCTGTATCTTCAAAACCTGAAAATATTAAGTCGCGACTGTGATTTTACTGCCCTGACAGCAAGCCAAGCCAGGGATATCTCAATAAGAGATGCCTTCATCAGTGGAGTACGGTCTAACCAAATCAGACAAATGATGCTCGAAAACAAGGACTTGGATCTGGCTACCGCCTACGAACTATCCCTTATGTTGGACATGGCCCAGAAACAATCAGATCTCTATTCGAAAACCTGATTTTCAGGGGCTACTATTCTTGCCCATTCTCATTCTCAACAAATTCCCAGCTCAAATTCACAACATTGTGACCCCCAGGATAAGGATTCTTCAAATACTATTGAACAACCCGTTACTATCGCTTCAGCTGAGATTAAGTGCTACTTCTGCGGCCTTCGTAAACACGCTCGTTCATCCTGCCCGGCTCGAAACAGTAGATGTCATGGATGTGGCAAGCAGGGACATTTTTTAAAGGTTTGTCGGTCGGCCCCTTTACAGAAAACCCGTTTAGCCGCCACCCTATCTCTATCTACCGTATCGACTGTCTCTCCCAAATGCCTCTCTAAAACAATTGTGCCGGCCAGAGTGAACGGACTAAATCTCCACGCTCTTATTGATACGGGGAGTTCTGAAAATTTTATCGATGCACATATCGTGGAAACAAACAAATGGAAAATCTTTTCCTGTTCTAATCAAATATCGATGGCCACTTCGTCCTTATCCTGCCGTGTAATCGGATTCTGCATGGTTAACCTCGAGCTAAAAGAAAATTTCTATTCTAAAATCAAGTTGCTGGTAATGAGGAACCTCTGCTGTGAAGTAGTTCTAGGGCACAATTTCCTTAACCGACATTCTCACCTTACAATTCCGTTCGGTGGTATCAAACCAGAGCTGCAAATATGTGGATTAGCAACTGCAAAAGTCCAATATCCATCTCTCTTCTCAAATCTAACCTCTGACTGTAAACCTATAGCCGTAAAATCCGGACGCTATTCCCAGACTTCTTAAGGAAAATATTATAGAGCCCAGCAAATCGCCATGGAGAGCCCAGGTCCTAATAACGACTAATGAGAACCATAAAAAGAGGATGGTTGTTGATTATTCCAAGACCATCAACAGATATACGCAACTCGATGCGTATCCGCTGCCCCGTATTGACGAAATGGTTTCCGATATCACTAAGTATCGTATTTTCAGTACGTTGGACCTTAGGAGTGCCTACCATCAGATACCCATCAAGCCGGAGGAAAAACCTTATACGGCATTCGAAGCTTGTGGGCGTTTATATCAATTCCGTAGGATCCCTTTTGGGGTTACAAATGGGGTCGCAAGTTTTCAAAGGGTAATAGACGAAATCATTTCTAATGAGAAATTGAAGGGTACTGTGGCATACATAGACAATGTCACTATTTGCGGTTATAACGAGGAAGATCATAACCACAACCTCAAACGATTCATGGCCGCCGTAAATAAATATGACCTGACCCTTAATGAGGAAAAGTGTTCATATAATTTGAAAAGCATCAAGCTACTAGGGTACATAGTCAGGAATGGTGCCATGAGACCGGACCCCGAGCGACTTAAACCCCTAATGGAATTACCAATTCCTGGAAATATAGCTGCATTACGACGAGCCCTTGGCATGTTTGCCCATTATTCCCAATGGGTTGCGTCCTTTTCTGAAAAAATACATTTACTTACTCAAGTAAGAACTTTTCCATTATCTGATTCAGCCATTAGAGCATTTCAAAATTTAAAAAGGGATATTGCTAATTCTGCCATTGCTGCCATTAATCCTTCAGCTCCACTAGTAGTTGAAACCGATGCATCTGATTCGGCAATAGCTGCCTCCTTAAGACAACATGGTCGGCCTGTAGCTTTTTCTCTAGGACACTCTCGAAAGTCTGAACGAAGGCATACTGCCATAGAAAAAGAAGCGTACGCCATAGTTGAAGCTTTACGAAAATGGAGGCATTATCTGATCGGTAGACAATTCCACCTTATCACCGACAAAAATCAGTATCATTCATGTTTAACCCGAAAACCTCAAGTAAAATAAAAAAATGAGAAAATTGCAAGATGGCGGATGGAACTCTCCTGTTATTCATTTGACATCTCCTATTGCCCTGTAAAGGAGAATGCTGCAGTTGACGCACTTTCAAGGGTGTGCAGTCTAACAACAAGCTCATCTGATCTTCAGAGCATACACCGAGAATTGTGCCACCCGGGCATCACAAGAATGGCACATGTAGTCCAGAGCAGGAATTTACCATATTCAGTTGAAGATGTTACCAACTCTTGCCAAATATGTGCAGAAAATAATCCAAGATTCTATAAATCAACACTCGTAAAGGCCACTCAGCCTTTCGAAAGGCTTAATCTGGATTTCAAGGGTCCACTACCTTCTAAAACACAAAATAAATACATGCTTACTGTAATTGACGAGTACTCAAGGTTCCCCTTCGTCATTCCATGCCCTGATGTAACGGCCACTACAGTTATTCAAGGCCTCTGCTCCCTTTTCGCAATTTTCGGAGTGCCTGCATACATTCATACAGATCGGGGATCTGCCTTTATGTCAGAAGATCTCAAGAATTTTTTGCATGAACGAAGAGTGGCGGTTCACCTCCCCTTACAACCCTCAAGGGAACGGGCTCTGTGAAAGATATAATGGAATAATATGGAAGACAGTACAGTTGGCATTGGCAAACTGGAAAATGCCGATATCAAAACGGGAAAGTGTCATCCCCGAGGCTCTAAATGCTATCAGGACCCTACTGTGTACATCTACAAACACCACTCCACATGAGAGGGTTTTTTCGTTCCAAAGACGAAGCTCAACAGGCACTTCCCTCTCCTCATGGCTTGCTCAACCTGGAATCGTTTTGCTGAAACACTATGTTCGTCGTAGTAAACATGGCCCCTTAGTCAGCAAAGTGAAACTAATTGAGGCGAACCCCCAATACACCGAGAGTGAAACTGCGGAAAGAAGATAATCAACAGTCTTCTTAAGAGATCTCGCGCCGGCTGGAAATACATCTGAAGAGGCTACTGCGATGGAGAATCACGAATATCCAGTTTTCAGAACCAGCCCAGTTAAGCTAGGCGATCAAATCCCACGTACATCTAGTTCAGATACTTTACCGAATGAATCCGATTTTCCTTATGAAACCTTCTCTTCTACATCTGATTCTGAAGAAAGACCGACACCAAAAAAAAACGGACTCACCCTACATCGGAGACTGACACTTATTTTTCAGACACCCAGCAACCAAAACATAAAAAAAACGGTGCCGTTTCAAGGCTAGACTTCTACGCAGAAATGCGTTAATCACGATAACTATAACTCGTCGTCTGACGCCACCAGTCACCTGAACAATTAAGATGTTCCCAAAGGCCATAAAACGTTGGAAAGACTTTCACCTGAACAATGTTATAATGTTCCCCAAAGCTCCCCCTGTTTGGCAAAATGCCAGAAATGCTTATAAATAAAGCTTAATTCTTTTTTTTTTTTGGTCTGTATTAAGTTGAATAAAACTTTCCTAAGTTTGGGGGTTATTCATTAGACAACTTAGAATGAATAAAAATATAAAAAGCAAATTCATTGTCTTTTTTATGATTATACAATTTCACGAGGTTCCTTCTAAATAGACACTTGCAAATATTGATATACTTACATATGGATCTTAGTTAACTTGTATACTTACATGTAGATTTTTCCATTGCTTGAAATTGATTGACATATAACAATTTTCAATTATTTGAGTTAATTTCATAATAGAAGAAGCTCTTGGAAACTAAAAATATAAAAACATTAAGTCAACAGTGAAGCAATAAAAATTTGTCCATTTTCTTTTCTTAAACTTTGCTAATTTTTGGAATTAGCATTTTACAACTTTTAAACTGGTAAATAATCTCTTGATAAAAACTGTTTCAAAAACGTTTTTCTTATTTAAATTATTACTCTATGTGATAAACAAAAATGAATAAAACTCATATCATTTCTGAAATCTATTAATAGAGGTAAGATTTAAGCACCTTATAAAAATACACATAAACAAGAAATCATTATTTTAATCATGGATTGTTATCAAATAATTGTTATAAGATTAAATTTTAATTAAATTGAATTAAAACTTATTATCATCAAAGATTTATTTCTTTTATTTTTATTTATTCTGAATATAACAGATATATAATGTAAATTGTTCCATTTTTATACCCTTTGCATAATGTTACCTCCCTTCGATCATAATAATCAAAGGGAGATAATAATAACTGACTAGTCATAAAGGATATAAAAATTGGAGTCCTTTTTAATATAGTACAAACGGGATTCTTATTCCAATTTGTGAATCGACTTTAGTTTATTTGGAAACTGGTGTAATAATCTATTCCCACATTGAAATAATCAGTAGGTTGTTCTATATTATTTTCTAAATCATAAACAAAATTCAGAATTACTTACATATGTGTGACGTAAATCTTTTTTTCTTATGAAGGAAAACAACTGAAATGATAAAAAAATAAAAATTATATATGCTGTTTCAAAAGATTTTAGTAAAATTCTTGTTAAAATCTTAAGAAAAATATTCAATTTTTGGAAGAAATCCCAAATATTAAGCAAAATATTGAAAAAAAAAAAAACAAGATCAATGTTCTTCTATGATTTTTGTAGTTACTGAATATGAATAGAAAAAGCATGTTTGGAAAAGAAATGTCAAGAACATATTTAAAGAGCTTTACCAAATTCCCATTAATCCTTGCCATAAGTATTTTGTTAACTACTATAAACCTTTTGGCAAAATGGATTTGTAATAAATTACTCATGTCTAATTGTCCATGACATATTATGATATTAATACTTTATATTAAAATATTTTTACATAAATTCTTTAATAATAAATGTATTTATTTCATATGTTGCATCAAAGTTGTGACACATGAATGAAAGAACATTGGATAAAGCATTCAGTTTTTCATATTGTTTAACTACTTACAGTTCCCACTATGCTGAGTAATTAAAAATAGCATTTCAATATGCGACTAGTATCTAATCAAAAAGCAATGTGTATTCTTTTAAAACAAATATCTTCAAATACCTACACATTCGAATTTATCACACATGAATTTGACTAAGTCTACACTATTGTTTTACCTCTTTTACTTTTATGTTGAAATTTATTTTGAACTGTAAATCTGCAGCATTCAACATTGACAAGATATATCACAACTGTTTCTATTGTATTCTGATTTTAAATTATTATAGTTTTCAAACTTCATTTATAGGTTCAGTGCATGTCAACTTCAAAGGAACAGTCATTTCCATAATGTGAACTGATCAGAATATGGATATGGATCACTGATGTGATTTGAAATCTTATGCAAAGTATTTGCAACATGGTGAAAACTTTAAACGTCTCATTGGGTTGCCATGTATTAGAACTTAACATAAATTAACAATCAGTTAATATATATTTCAAATTTCTAAACATTCCCTCAGATATTGCTTAGATCTATTTAGTTGAGGTTTATAGGTGTAGAGAATATGAAACTGCTTTGTATTTAATTGTCCTAGGCTATTTCATATGAAAGATCATCATTTAGCATTGGCATATCCAATTTAAGCTCTTTGTCTTGCTGACGTAGTAGCTGTAAAACAGTTTTTTTCTTCTCTTTTTAGATCTGTTCCATCACTATCGTTATTCTCTGTGATATTTCAAATCTAATTTAATGCTTTTTGCAATATCATTTTCTCTAAAGTGTAAATATAAAAATATGTGCCTGGTGAATTCAGTATCAAAAAATAAATGTTCTTTACTGAGTTTTGTATCCATTTACAAGAGACATGCACTTTGAATGTCCAACACTAGATTTGTTAAAATGCATTTGCCTTGATCCAATTGTTCAGCTTTATAGACCACAATTGTTTAAAGAGTAATCTGAACTACATACACCATATTGGGTTATTCACAACAAGACCAGATTTTATTGAAAGAGTATATATACTGAAAGTGGTTTATAAATGACTAAGAAATTGTATTGTAAGAAATTTGCAAGTGGCAAAAATATTTTTTTTTTCCCCCGTAATACTGGAACTGAAATCTGAAATCATCCTGCTCTGGACTCTACTGACATCATGCCTATTGGGTTTCACTGTTATTCATCACTGTGCCTGCTCTCTTCTACACACTCTAGTTTATAGTTTGCTTGCTGAGTCATCTAAACACAGGACATGAAGAAAACAAAACAAAACAACAGTACAACATCTGACTGCTTTAATATGACTACAGACAAAATAACAACATAAAAGGAAAGTAAAAACAAAAAGTCAACAAGCAAACTAGACAAAAATACTGATAATGAAAAAATAACCAAAACCAAATTGTTCTAGTTTTGGAGAGACCAAAACCCCAAAAGAAACAAAAACAGAAAGACAAAAAAAAATGTAAACAGAAAAACAAAATGACACAAAATGTAACAAGCAAAACAACAAAGAAAAAGAGATGTGGGGTTCACAAATTCAATGAAAAGGAGCTAAAGTGCTAGAGAACCTATTACACTCTATATTTTATTTCTAATAACATAAATTATGTAATAAAAATAATTTTCATGTCTTTTATGCTACCATTATTTATTTATTTATGTAAAATTTACATGCAGAACATTTTTATTTTGCATAACTTTTTTTTTATTTTTGTGGAACTTTCTAAATTTGTGTGTGCATTTATATGCAGAATTTATTTGCCAGAATAAAAATTTATTTCATTATAGGTTTTTAAAACAAGCAATTTTTAAGTTTATATGAAGAAATATCAGTTTATTTGTTCCAGAAATAAAAAATGAGCATTTGTTAAAATAAACGGCTAAAAAAGAATGAATAGAAAAAGTTGGGACCCTCTGGTTTAGACATACAGATATGCACTACCTTACAAACATTGAATTTACTTTCAGTTTTACAAAAGACCTACATTCATACCTTTTCTTCAATAACTGAACAAAGGCAGTTTTTCAAAATTAATGTGATGTAGATTACATTTTTGTAAAGCCAAGAATACCTTTAGCCCTTTTTAATTTCAGAAACAATGATAGTTAAAAAAAAATATGTACTTACTTTGTTTTGTTCCTGAAAAAGATATGGAAAAAACTGACATAAATTATTTAAAATTTATTTAATAAATTGAACATATTTTATTTTTGCTAAATAGAAGTAGAAAAATTCAATAAACAATATTAACAAAAAAGATATACAAAAAACAATATATAAAAAAAAACCAAAGATATAATTGTGTTCATTGGAGAGAAAAAAATCAAAAGAAATTAAATTTTTTTTTTCAATATGTTTTAATGCCAGTACATGATAGCAGCTCTGACAAACTGGGATAGAAGTGTACAAGAGGATAACTACACTCATAAAACAGCTTCAGTCCACAAAGGGAGAAAATACAAAAGATCTATAGTCTATATAACATTAGGACAACCTTCAAAAGTGCTTCAACACTTTGCAATCACCACTTTTGAGTAAGACCCCCGCACTTCCACCTGAGGAGATCATGAGTAAGGACTGTGTGTACGCCATCCCATGCAGCCATAGCAAGAAATACACAAGAGAAACAAGCTGTTCTCTTAAAATAAGACCACAAGAACAGGAGGAAATACAAAAACCTGACATAGCTGACCACATATCCAGGGAGAGAGGAGGTCATCACCCCCTGTTGAAATAATAGACTGAAAACATGAAAACTTAAGGAATCAGCACATATATCAGACCACAAAAATCTCCTGAGCCAGCCAAGCATAGAAATGAATACAATATGAGAACCAGTAATAAACATCTAGAGAAAAGCAATAAATAACAAAAATTGCAATATAAGCTCTGGTAAAAAATGTAATAATAATAACAGAAAAAATTGCAATATGAGCACTGGTGAAAATGGTTGCTGAGACATTAGGAATGACTATACCCAAAGAGTTGCAAGTTCAATACCAGGTCACAGCAGTGGTGAACAAAAACTTGGAGAGTTGAGTTAATGGGAAATAACTGAGACATCCGGAAGAGTCATGGCACGTGGAACTAGAACAATCTACTCTGGTGGACAAAATAAAGGGTTCAGTTCAAAATTCCAATCACCTGAAGAAGGCCAGAGCATACAATAGCTGAAACGTTGTGATTGGCAATGAAGATAAGGATAACAGTCCAAGTAATGTCTCAGAGATATAGACAGATATGTCAGATTCTGTCTACACTTATTTTTTAAGTAATACATCTTTTACAAGTGCTTGATCATTTTGAAGTCATTTCAGCTTTTGTTAATGTTTTGTACTTCCTGAAGTTGATAGATAGTAACACAAAAGAATAACAGGTTAGTTGTATTGGTAACTGAATTAGGTTAATAAGTACAAATATATAGTGTGTAATTAATATAATAATAATAATAATAATAGATAAAAAATCTCAAAAACAAAAAATAAATACTCAATCAGTGTATTTCTGCAAAATAATGATTTTTAAGGCATTTCATTTTAAATATTTTTTATATATTTTTTAATATTTATTTTAATTTTTTAATTTTTATTTTAGAACTAGCAGTAGAGCCTGGCGTTGCCCGGGGATATAACAGTAAGAGATTGATCAAGTATTGACCATCATAAAGACTGAAAAATAAAATTGACAAAGATTATTTGTTTAAAGTTGACGTACACGCATGTCTTAATTAGTTTTTTTTTTGTTTTTTTTATGAATTGGTCAAACCCAAACTCAAACAAAAACATTGTTTTCAATCGTTATGAGTCTACCGATTGAATAGAATTTTATCATAAACAATTGTCTTGTAAATGGAATTTTAAAGCATTCTGAATGTAAAAAAAAAAAAAAAAAGTGTGCAAGACAATAAAAATACTACCTGCAAAAAAAAAGTTTTGTTGAAATCGGTTGAAAAATGTAAGAAATCCAATCCCATATATAAATGAACACAAACACACACACAAACACAAGCAACCAACCTGGGTTTTATAATAAGTATAACTTGAAGTGAGTTGTCCCCCTTTCATTAATGCCTCTTAATTGTGTTTTCAAATTGATTTTGTGCAAAAACAATTGTGTTTTTCCAAATTTTGGCACTGTTAGAACCACCGCAAGGTAACTTTACGTAGTCCTGTGAAGTTTTGTTGAAATTGGTTGAAAAGTGTAGGAAATCTGATCCAATATATAAACGTAACAGATACACACACACACAATCTGCATTTTATAATAAGTAAGATTCTCCTTTTAGACCATATGCACTAACAGCAGGAACACAGTCTGCACAGCAAGTGGAAGGTCTGACTGGTTTCCAGTAACATCTGGGGTTAGGCAAGGCTGCAATCTTTCTCCTTTACTGTTTGTGATCTACATGGACCAGATTACAAAGGAGACCGATCCAGATCCTGAGGCACTCAACAAACTCATGTTCACCAATGACCAGGCAATGATGAACAATGACAGGATCTAGCTGCAGTAACACACTGACCAACTCAACTCAAGCTGATAGAAATATGACATGAAGATACTGAACAAGGTCATGACCGTCACCAAGAGACCAGAAAAACTGGACATTAATGGAACCAATCAAATATCTGGGCAGCATATTTACTGAAAATGGCAAACTAGACAGAGAAATCGAGGCCAGATGTCAGAAAGTCAACACAATCAGTTACCAACTTGCACCTCTTCTAAAACATCCTAGCATTTCCAGGAGCACCAAGGCAAATCTCATCAATCCCATTTCCCTACCAATGCTGACATACCAAATATGGCCTCTAACAAAAACCCTTGAGAGGAAACTGATCACTTTTGAGATGAAATACCTGAGGAAAACAGTGAATAAGACCAAATGAGACAAGACCAGGAATGAGGCAACAAGAAATATGGTAGGAGCAATACCAATCATACCTGATCATCAAACAACAGAGAATCAAGTGGTTCAGACACCTCACTTGCATGCCTATCAACCAACCAACCTACGAGCATGCACCCTCAGGTACTCTGGCTGGAGGAATGAGGCAGACCAAAAAGATGCTGGAGTGACTCAGTGGCAGACACTCATAGAGCACACAAGATATCTCTCCTGCAGGCCACTCACCTTACTCCTGACAGACAACTGTCTCCCCACGGTTTTTCTGTTATATACAGGAATGTGCATGCATAAATTTAAAATAAATTGCTATTATTAATATAATAGCAATGAAACTTTTAAATTTATGCATGCAAAAAAAAATTTTAAATTTTTATTTTATTAGACATATTTGGTGTAAGGATATTCATTATATTTATATTATTATAATAAAATCATGACTGCTTTGCTGTAGATATCACCAAGTTTTAGTTATTCAACAAAATTTAAGTAATTTTTATTTCCTGTTCAGTTTTTTATATTTCTTCACCTTCATAAAATATTAAAACAAGAATTTTTAAAAGACAATTACCCACATATTTTTCAAGTCTTTGTATAAATTTTGTTATCCAAAAAAGAACAAAATGTAAATCTTTGTTATAAAACCTTTATATTAAAAAACATTATATTTGACAAAACCTTTCTCATTCTTCACTTTCAATAAATTTGTGAAAGTTTAAAGGAAGCCATATTAAAATCTCCACAAGCTTTCAATCCCAAATCCCTCCAGAGAAAATTGAAGAAAAATTGTTACATACAGTAAAAGTAAATAACAATCTAATGAAATAATGAATTTATGTCATCAAAGTCTACAAAGTATAGCTCTTAATTTTAGTATGTCTTTAAAAAGCAGGGATGAGCAGAATCAAAATTATTATTATTGTTAAGGAGAAAGATGAAAAGATGACAAGTAATTTTATCAGATATCCTTACAATAATATGGTACTGGTAAACAAGTTGGTTGGCAAAAATCAAACACAGTTTTTTTGCTTCACTATTTATAAATATATACTACCATAGTATGTAAAAATAATAATAGGTGGTGCCTATGACACTTTGACATTAAAGAAATGTTCAGTCCTATATCTGTTGTGTTCCAAAATCTGGTGACTCAGTGTCAACACTAACAAGGCAAATGACTAGAATTCAAACAGGTGCCAGATGGATAGGACATTTATTTCTGAAATTATGAAGATATTCAACATCCTTTGATCTACATGTCATGTGTGCACCAGAAATACTTAATGGAAGGAGAGACCATGACCATGACCAGAGGCATTTGGCTAGAATTGTCTGAGGTAACAGAGAAGTGACACTGACTAAAATCATATTCAATGCAAAGAGGTACGGTAGGTTAGTTCAGTATTTTGTAATTTCCATGGAATATGGGAGCAAAAACCTATTAGTCATGTTAACATCATGACAACAGAGACAGTGCATCATTTGGGCATGTGAATTTACTAATTGAAACTTAGAATGTTGGAGATCCATATTAGCCACCTCACCTATAATTTTTGGCATATCAGTCTATGTAAACTGACATTTATGGTCTTAAGACAGATTAAACTCATTTTAGGAAACAGTTATATACATATCCAAGTTCAGCTCCTTTTTTTTTCATTTTATTCTGATGGCTCATTTTTTTTATTATAGTTGAAAAGAAAGAAAGAAAATTTTTTTATCACTAATAGTCATTAAACATAGAATTACTTAGTCATTACTAAATGCAAGGTCTTAGCTTAATTCTAACAAACTCTCTTCTCCATTATTTACAATCAGACTAATATCTTCATCTTTGTTGTTGCTATCTTAACACTTTGATCAATGTGCCCTCTGGCCTTCTTCAGGTGTCCGTCAATCTAGATAAGCTTCAGGGAATTTCAAACTGAATCTATCCATGTCTAAGGATATCTTATTCTTTTTTATTTCTACTGGATTCAACTTCAATTACTATATCACTGTTATAGACAAGCGTATGGTTGCAAGAAAGAAATACGACAACAGCAGAAATAGATTTACGTGGTTTATTTCAACAGGAACATGTGGGTTTGGGACAACTACCTTGTGGTAAAGTTCATAAGCCGGCTTCGGATCTAGGTCAATCTCTCATAGTAGTTCACACATGTTGACGGTGGTTGATGCTCCCCTGCTGTCAGCAGCTGAATGTGACAGGTCTCTATCCTGGGCACCTGTGGACTGCCTGTTGAACTTCCGTGTGACCCTTTTTTATAGCGTTTTTTATGGCTTAACAGGCTCGAAAACGAAGCGAGTATAATTAGGAGGGAAGCATTTTTATTGGACGAAAAATAGAGCACTTTAAATATTATTTTATTTTTCGACCAGAACACGTGTGTCGGGAACATTTGTAAAGAAAGATAATGGTCATTTTGTGACGGGGCTTTGTCCCGTTTACATCTGGTTCTCGCTCTTGAGTATTTGCCTGTAAATCAGCCGAGATATGTCTTATTTTATAACATCACCAAATCTAAAAAGCAACACCTTAACCTTAGTTCATGAGTTTGATAGCATAGTTTTCATGTGTTCAACTTAGTAGTACAGGTTCAGACTTTATAGGAACAGGATTACCAATAACTGAGCAGAATAAAAAAAAAAAAATTGTATATCTTTAAACATGAATGAGAATTCACCCCTATTGATTAAATAAAGTATTCAGTCAAAAATTCCCTGAAGATTACCTCAATCAACAGCCACTTGAAGAAAGCCAAAGGGCATAACAGCTGAAACATTGTGATCATAACAACAAAGATGAAGATTAATATTCCAACTGTAATTATAACTCTTCCTTCCAGAAATTCAGATAGAAATTGTCTTCATAATATAATATTCTCAGAAGTGAACATGTTTAATATCATTTAACTACATAAAAACTTTTTTGTAAAAAACTAACATGAATTTCCTAAATCTATGCTTTAAATTAAAAAAAAAATATTAAAATTAAAAAAAGATTTTACCTGTTTATTCTGAAATTTTGTCTCCATGCAATACTGAAAAAAAATTTTAAATTTAACAATGATATATACATAATTTAAAATTATGAATCTTAAAAAAACATATTTTAAACAGTTAGAAGAGTTAAATATTTTTCTGAGGATACTTTGTTATAGCTATTAAAACAAGTATTTTCAAACGAAGAGAAAAGTAAAATGAAAAAGATTATAGTTACTGTAACTGTAAATATTTAAAAAAACAAAAAATAACACTGATCAATTTTCATTTCTCACTCTTCAGAAAACAACAAATCTAAAAGGAGTGTACACAGCATCTAACATAGGGGAAGATTAATAGACAGGATATACATATATATTAATAATATGCCAATATATATCTCACACAAATAACATTCATTTTCTCCAATGCCTTCAAGTGAAAGTCCAAATGTGTCTAACTCAAAATTGAGAACGTCTTTAGGATAGGACATGATGGTTATTTCACAGATTATGGATGTATTGATACCCCTCTGTTAAGATCATTTCATAAGTATGTTTGTGACTTCTCAACATATTAATTCAGTTATTTATCATTTTAAATGCCAGTCTGACTATTAACATGAGAATAAGTCAACATGTATTGGCTAGTATTCCTAAAAGAAAATTCAATAATTTGCATATGTGACTCAAGGCATCTGGGTCAGTGATAGCTGAATATCTATTAAACAATCTTCAGTGTGGTGTATCATTTCATAAAGACATGTTCTCAGTTTTGATTTAATTACATTTTGACTTTCAATTGAAAGTATTATGGACAATGTACATTGTCTTTAATGCCCTCCCTCTGTAAATAGAAATTAGGTCTAAATGAAATTTGAAATTTAAAATTTTAATATATATATATATATATATATAAAAGTGAACATAGAAGTCAACACTTAGAGGTGACAGTCTGTTTTATGCTAGATGCAATCGTCAGGCTACAAGTGCTGTATTTTTCTCGGCTATTTATATATACGCATCACTGGTGGTAGTCTATTATCTTTATTCTGCAGTTGCACATGGGTTTAATTTGTTCGTGTGGTTTGGGTTGAACTATATGATATTTCTTTTCCTGGCCAGGAAAAGAAATATCATATGGTTCAACCCATTGTACAGCAAAAAAGTAAAAACAAACATAAGAAAAATATTCTTCAAACTCTTACACCAACACTTCCCGTACAGCAAAAATGTAAAAACAAACGTAGGAAAAAATATTCTTCAAACTCTTACACAAACACCTTTCGGAATCAAGCACACTACACAAAAAAATCAAAAAGAGAAAAATAAATAAACAAAATGACAGAAAAATAAGCAAAATAAATTAACCCAAACCAATTACCAAATCACAGCTGTTAGAATAGATGAGATAGAATAAAAAATAAGAAACAAAATCAATGAACCCAAATAAATAAAGTAAATAATAAACAAATTAGCAAACCATTATGACCAAAATATTAGTTAGACTATAGAAATCAAACAAAAATCAGACGAAAAAATAGCTACAACTGTTATATAATGATAAAAGAAAAAAAATACTACATTACTTAAAAATCGAAAACCGAAAAGAGAAAATATACAGTATAACAAATAAATAACAAGTAAAATAAATTGATCTAAATTCATCCAAATAAATAAATAAACTAACAAACTGATCCCAATAAACTAACCGTTAGAAAAAAACAAATAAAGATAACCAATGCAAATAAATACATGAAGTAATAAACAAATTAAAAACTGTTCCTGCCAAAATAATAGTTAGAATAAACTACAACAATCAACCCCAAAATTGAATAGCTTTAATCATCTTTCCAAACCAAAACAAAACTATTAAATAAGCAATATAAACAAACTTTTACTATATTAATAAAAACACCAATTAAAATAAAATTTTAAAAAAATAAATAAATATATAAGAAATAAAAATAAAAATAAATAAAAACAAGCAAAATAATTTAACCCAAATAAATAAATAAACAAATAAACGACTTCCACCAAAATAACCGCCAAAATAGACTACCCACAAAGAAAAATAACAGCACTTGTAGCCTGACGATTGCATCTAGCATGAAACAGACTGTCACCTCTAAGTGTTGACTTCTATGTTTACTTTTATATTTACACACACTCTATCTCTGATATTGAATACATTATCCCATAAATATAGCATATCTTAGACTATATTTATTCATATATATATATATATATATATATATATATATATATACATACATACATACATACATACATACATACACAGAGAGAGAGAGAGATCTTTAAGGTTTATCATCAATATATATGTATATCCATGTCCTTATTTCTTTTTTATTTTCAATTTGCCATTTACAGTAACTATAAAATATTTTTATCATTGCTCTTTCTTTTAAAATGTATGCATTAATGACAATAACTTAAAAGAGTCTTTAACCCAGGCAAACATAATTGTTTTCATTGAAATTAGATGGATATATAATTTTGATTTGCTTAAAATTAAAATATTTTATATTGATTATTAGTTTCTGGATACCTTTCTATGTAGGATATAACATCATTTTCACATGAAAATATAAAAGAAAAAGAAGAATGCACTAAATAAAAATAAACAATAATTTCAATAATAACATATACTAAATAAACAGATACTTACAGGAAATTTTTTCATTTTCTGAATAATAGATAAAAAGTATTTTATAATGCATTTTGAAACTGTTGATTGTTATTTTAGACTTTTAACGTTTTCATATTCAAAATCAAAAAAAAATATACAATATATATATATATATATATATAACAATATAATTATCATTTAATTTCCATTTGTAGTGTGGTTTATTTTGCTAGACCATTAAAGATGAAACTGCTGAAACTAACAGGAATATATACTAAATGTATACTTCAATTTTTTCAATGAAAGTTAGTTTTGAAATATATTTACACTTATTAAAAAGTACAGAAACAAAATTAAACAAGTACAAAAAAACAAACATAAACTGAAGAAAAAAAGAAAAAAGATTTAAAAACTAATTATAAATCTCTGCCAGTTTCCTGACCTGTTCCTTCTCTCAAAACCAAGTTCTTACATTTCATTATTAAGATAACATAAATATATCTTCTCTAATCTTACATAAATGTTTGCTGATATTTATTCTTGTAAAAATTACTTTTTATGTAATGTAGTTTTGAGTTTAATAACTGTACATGTAAGTAATGCAATGAACTGCGTTTTTTGTGGTATGTACTAAATACTTACTTTTTTCACTTTATACATCATACTGATTTTTTCTTATTGGTTTTACTATTAAATATTTAAAGAAAATTTAAAGACTTTTAATATTATTATGTACAATGCCATTAAATAGAAAAACAAAAGGCATTTAGGGGAAAAATGCTATTTACAAATCAGTTTTATTTTATTTATATTGTCAAACTATCTAAACTTACAGTTAATTTCACTGACAAAGACTTCAGAATAAGACAATTTCTTTAATCAAAGTTGGATATCTTTTGCATACATCTTAGTTTACTCATTCATATTGTAGACATTAAAAATAATCTATAGTAGATTTATCTTGTTTTGAGAACATATAAAGAATTACAAATGGTTTCATCTAAACATTTTCTTCATATAAAGCTATTTATTTGAAAGAATCATTTATAAAACAATCTATCAAAAATTTTCTAAATCGCAATAAAAAAATTCAGTACTGTAAATTAACCACAATGACAATGGTAGCAGTAATTTAGAATTAATTTACTCTCATACCAACCAGATACAAATACAAAAAATACATTTTATATAACACCAAAGGAGGTAACATGTCTTCCAGTGTCTATCTGTGGAAGTCCCCAATTACCAATTATCTCATGAGACCTTCCATTTTTACTCTACATGCACTCACCTTCCTCTGACCATAGGATGGATGGACATGATCAGTTGAAGGTTTATCCCAGAATATGTGTGCAGTTTGTGTCCTCATATTTGTGGGTATAGAGTTTGAGGTGCTTGCATGTTTTGACATGGGTTTTGACTTGGGCTGGTGTCAACCTCATATTGGTGTTCTCCAATATTATTTTGTATCGGGCCTACTGAATCTGTGGTGTTGTCAATTTCCATTTCTTTTGGTACATAGGATATTTGGTTTATGTTGTATGTTGGGTGATAAGGGATTATAATCTGTGTCAATCACCATAGAGAATTCACTGGGTTGCTACAGCAGGATCTGAGGACCTGCAGAGATATTATACTGTCCTAGCCTAGACGTGGTTAATCTACTTTCCATGTTACTATCTTGAACCAGCTGTAAATTGGGGTGCCATGAGGTCAAGGAGCCTGCTCACTGGGTAGAATGATGTGGGACATCAATAACTGGATGGATCTTATGGTGGAAGCAACAGTTGTGTAGATATACCTGATTGCTTCCATCCAGCTACATAAAGTACTGTACCACCAACGAGGTTAGGGCCACCTTGATTCTGTATTTGAACAAAATTGCTAATTTGTCATTCCTGAAGTGGGCAACAATGTTCATTGTAAAAGTGCTTGTTCCACATGTGCCTTTTAGACACTGCTGCCTCTCTCAGTTCACCAATTTCTTTCTACTGTTTGCATATCTGGTATTTGTCTTGTAGGACAGGGAGATGGTCTTTGATAATATGACCATATAACATAATAGCAGGAGGTATGTCAAGATCCGGGATGAGAGTATTGTATTGTGCCAGCAAAGCATGGGCTGCACAATCAGAAACCACCAACCACACCTGTGTTGTCTGTGAGTAAAAATTAGAAGGTGCAGTCAGGTACAGCATTAACTTTTCCAAGGAGATGCTTAATGTTGAATTTGTACATCAGTGTGCGTTCCTTGAAATTAAAACAACATGGGTTTTTTATGTCCTCAAGGGCCCAATCTGAGAAAATTTTTATGAGTGGTTGATAGTCAACAGTCACTAGCAAATCTGGATATCCCAATAAACATCTGACATGATTCTAGTCCATAAACAAGGGCTAGGTCTTCACCTCAACTGGTGCATAGCAGGATTCTGCATTGTCGGTAAAGCAAGTCCAGCAAAACAATTTTCCAGTGACCATCACCAAAATTTGGGATCATCTCACCATGGGCAGTAACAGGGCTTTTGAAAAATAAAGTAACCAATTCCCATTTTGCTGTAATCCGTTGAAAGACATGTCAGTTTATTGATCTTGAACATCTTGATTCTATCCTCAATTTTTCCACATGATTACTCACTTTGACTCACCAAAAAGTTGGATAAGCATTTCAAGCGAGCATGTTGTTCTCAGTTTGTAACACATTTCAACTGGGTTGGTAAGTTTACACATCTCCTTATACTAAATCCAAGCATCAAGGAAAAATACCCAGTCATTGTCCATTGTGTTGGGTTCAATGACACAGCAGCCTGTTTTTATTGTGTTTGACATTTGAATCACATTAGTGGTTCTGTCCCTCCAAAGGACAATAGTTTCCTTTTGTAGCTCTATCATTTGTCACATGAATTGAGCAATCGAATTGAGAGTTCTGCCTGATACAGATTCCATGTCTTATTTTGGTAAGATAATTCCATGTATTCACCAGATCCTGTGCCCAGCACTATGTAAAATAACCACAATGACAATGGTAGTAGTAATTCTGAATTAATTTATTCTAGTACCGAGATACAAATACAAAAAATACACTTGTCTCCTGGCCACTCATCTGTTTATATAACACCAAATGAGATAACATACGTCCTCCAGTGTCTGTCTGTGGAAGTCCCCCATTATCTAATGAGACCTTCCATTTATATTCTACAAATACAACACAAAATTAATACTAATTCAAAAATGAATAATCAAAATGTACTAACATATTTTTTTTCTTGAAGATGTAATGAAAAAGGTTTAAATTGTTATAACACCCATTATAAAATATTAGAATGTGTAGAACATGTAGCTCAGAGGGAAAATGAATATATACTTTTGGAATAAACTATCCACTTGATCACATGAATGAGTTCACTCCCTTTGAATAATATCTGAAATGTAAATATAATAGTGACAAATATATAAATAAAACTATCTTTGGGATACATCTTGGTTTACTCATTCATAATGTTGACATAAAAAGTTTTCTGTAATGGATTTATCTTGTTATGAGAACACAAAAAAGTTACAAATGTTTTCATCTAAACATTTTCTTCATGTAAAGCTATTTATTTGAACTAAATATTTATTAAAGAATCTATCAAACATGAACTTAATTTCTAAAAGCAACAAAAATCTCCAATACAACACAAAATGAAATACTAATTCAAAATATCAATATTCAAATTATACTCACATTGGCATTTTTCCCTGTTACAGCCTGTGAAAAAAAGTTTTAATCTGTGATAATGTTTATTATTAAAAAAATTATGAAAATTAAATTATGAAAAATAAATAAAACATTTCATTGACACATTTACTGAAGATAGACTTACTTTTTACACTGAGATTTTTATTATTTATGTTATTTATTGAGATGTATTTTTATTTGAAGAACTGCACAGATTTTTATACATAAATATTTCTCTTCAAGAAATTTTTGACTGAGAAAAATAAAACAAAATTTGCTAATTTATGTTATAAAGAATGTCTGAATTTGTATGTTTGGTAAGAAAAAAAGAAATAAGTATTAAAATGATATTTAATAGATAATATTTGATGAAAAATTGTCTGCATTTGTATGTTTGGTAAGAAAGAAAGAAATAAGACACTTAAATCGACACCTATTTTTCAAAAATTTACCCAATAGTGATGTGATGTTTTTATTAATTTTAGTTTTACTCTCTTTTTCCAGTTGAAGGGGACATATATCAAAGTTTCTAATCTGAGATTTCACATTAAAAAAATTACAGTTTTTTCAAAATTTCTGCTTCGAAGACAGACTATTAAATATTCAAAGAAATTTTTAAAAGCTTTACTCTTATTTACAATAACTTTCACCAGAAACAATAGATATTTAGACAAAGAAATTCCTATTTAAGAGTGAACTTTATTTTAGATAAATTATTTTAGTGGTCACTGGATCAGATATATGCTAAAATGATACATTTATTAAGTTCTTCATTTATATTGGACTGGCAAAAATACTCAGCATCTGAAACAATGTGGATTCTATTTTTGATAAATTATTTTAGTTGTTATTTGATCAGATATGTACTTATATCATACATTTATCAAAACATAAATCCCATTGCCTATTTTATTTGATTTTACAATGCTAAAATCAGAAAAAAAGAGAAAAAACAAGTTACCTTATAATTTCTAATGGCTGCTTTTATAATATCACTACTCTAAAAGATAAAAAGAAGATTAGCAAATATTATTAAACAATATTCCTTTAAATTCAAACAATCAAAGTAATCAAGATTATATTGCTATTGTATCAGCAAAATTACTCATCCTCTGAATAATTTGTGAGAGAAGATAGCTATCTTCTTGACAAAATATGGTCACATGATAAATAAAATATAAATTTATTTTAGAAAGTTATTTGATCTACTTTTTGCAGAACCATCCAAATTATTAAAGGTTCTATATAAAAAAGATCTTTTAAATAAAATATTTTAATTTTTCAGTCTTTTTTAATAAATTTGTATATTCGATAGGTAAGAATAAAGATTTTTCTATGAAATTCTTATTTCAATTTTTCAAATACATTGTTTTTTTAACAAACGATCACATAATGAGTTCACTCCTTTTGAATACAATAGAAGGTAAGGAGTGACTTGTGTAAAACTATATCCACATTTTTATTTCTTTGATGTTAATTAAAATATCTATTTTCTATTGAAAAGCAGTGTTATCAGGGGAAATAAATCCATAGAAAACCAATTCAGACACAAAATGGAATATAACAATCATTTGTATAGGGTTATTCTGTAATTTTTCCAATATCAACATGTAGCAGATGTAACAAATTTATTTATGAAGAATATCATCAACATTATTAGTAATGACAAAAGATGACTGTGAAACAAACTTTTTGATTTTCTTTTGAAAAGATTTAGTTTTTTGGATGAATTGTCTATATACCTTTTCACTAAAACTATCACTTTTATTCAATTAAATAAAAAACTAAGTAGTTAAATTGAACAATTAGAGAGAATATATTGTAGAGCTTTCTAACCTGACAGTTAATTTTATTGACAAAGACTTCAGAATAATATTTCTTTAATCAAAATTGGATATCTTTTACATACATCTTTGTTTACTTATTCATATTGTTGACATTAAAAATTTTCTGTGGTGGATTTATCTTTCACATGTGATAAGACTTTCCAAATGAGTTAATGTAATAATTGATAAAAAAGACAAAAAATTAAAATCGTGAGGAAACCTATCTCAATTAATGAAATAATAAGGTTGTTACCTGATATTGAAATAATAAAAGTGAGTACGCTAATACAATCAATTTGCACTCATACATGCATTAATTCTGAAATAACAAGAATTATAAAGACAAAAAGAAATCAATAAGCAAAAAGCCAAGAATTTCACCAAAAATTTAAAGCCTGTCCTATAAATATTGTTATATTTTTTAAGTAAAGTTTTTTTCATTATCTTTTTTCTTTTTGTTTGATTTGTAGATTTTAAATTTATTAAAATAACTTCTCCCCAATTCATAAGAAATCAACCAAAACTTGTTGAAATCTTATTACTTTAATTTTGGTAAACATTTCAAAGAGACTAAATTTCTATAAATTAATTTCTAGTTTAATAGTATATCCATTTTGTATATTAAGAATATATACTAGTCAATATAGTATATAAATTATGTAATGAAAATTAATAAAGAAATGATACACTGAAAATTATCATAAAATACAAATTTTGCACTATAATAAATACCACAGCCTCAATAATAATTTTCCCTTCAGTTTCAATACTTACATCAATTTCATAATTTTTTAAATGTAATCCATGCAATGCAGTTAATTCTAAAACTCGGTGTGCAAGTTGTCGATCTATTTTTGAAAATTCATAAAACACACCACTAAAACCAGGAAGAGCCAGTTCAGATTTATTGAAGTAGTGGGCCTAGAAAAATATAAGAATAATATATATTTTAATAATATTTTTCAGGCAAAATTCAATATCTTTTGTTTATTAATTATAAAGAGAACTATTTTTAAATGTCTATCATATGAAATCACAATCAAGTAATTAATGAAACTATTAAAGAAAACATAATTAGAATGCTCAAGTCAAAATATTTTTAACAAATCATAAAATAAATAATATTCAGCCAGAAAATAATATTTTTATTGGGAAGAGAAGAAGAAGGGATTATATCACATCTCTTATCTTGATTATTGTGTAAAGCACAAACTTAAAGACACAAGACAAACTCTGCTATAGCCCACAGAAATCACATTTTCCAGGTGTACCAGTGTAGTAGTTCTGATCACAATAATCACCTTCTTGTGACTGATCATAATAACTGTAAATGCTCTTAAAGAGGCTAATTTTTTATTTACTAATAGAATGAAGCACTCTTTGGTTTTTGTAACTGCTAGCACCTCTGTAATAGTTTGCTAAATAAGGAGAGTTACTTGACCCCACACTCCACACACACAGTTAGGTTGTGACACAAAGTCATTTTTTTAATTTGGAGAACTGAGTGTTTTCACTCGGGCCACAGGTCCAAGCTAGTCTTACCTTGTCCAAGCTGGTCAGAGCTGGTATAAGCTAGTCATAGCTGGTCCAAGCTGGTCACAGTCAGTCCAAGCTAGTCTCTTCACTCAATTTGAGGTGTTAACACCTGCTGATAAAGCAGAATGTTTTGCTAGTAAATTCTCTTCAAATTCTACTCTTGGCTCATCTGGAGCATCTTTACTTGGCTTTCCACTTAGAACTAAGAACTTTTTAATATGCATATAACTCTATCCATGGTTTCTGCTATCATCTCTAAACTGGATCCCCACAAAGTATGTAGACTTGATGTTACCCTACAACAGTCCATAAGAAATGTGCTCCTGAACTGGTTCCTGTTCTCTCTAAATTGTTCAATAAATGCCTTGCTGCTTCTTATTTTCCTGCTTGTTGTAAATTCTCTTCTGTATTTCCAATCTTTAAGAACTCAAGCAAACCATCTGATCCTTCTAACTATCAACCTATTAGCCTTCTAGCACTTTTTGGCAAAGTACTAAGGTCTCTAATCAACTCTGAATTGTTTAAGCATCTCACCTGATAAGGTCTTCTTTCAGATGAGCAAATATGGCTTTGTCATAAAAGTTCACAAAGTCCAAATCTCCATAGACACACGCAGCATCCTCAAGACCCTGGTGGCAAGGGAGATTGCATCGACTCACACCGCCAACATACATTCATCTATGTGTCACTTGTTGCATGCAGTGTCATTGTGACATATTCTGGCAATGAGTTCTGTGATCATGTTTTTCACCTCATCATCCCAACCAGCTATGACTGCTGTTGCTCTGCACTTGATAAAAACTGTCGCAACTCTGAGCCAACCACAAACTGAGAAGTGTCCCACCAGTTTCTCACAGTGAAAATACTGTGTGATGGATCATCAGCTCAGGTACCTCCAAAACATCACTTCCACACTTCCAGTAGAGGGTGTTGTGTACCCCCAGACATACAATCCTAGCATTTGAATGCTAGGCTGTATGTCTAAATTATTATACATTTTTAACCACTTTCACTCCTTACTTGTCAGCTTAGTGTTGTTGTTAAACAAGGGCGCCATGAATATCACTGTTTGTAATAACTCTACTGGTTTGTGTACATGCACTTTCAAGTAAGTCTTCAGCAGATCAAGGATAGAAATATTAGACACTTTTTGCCATGACTCTTTTAGCTTTTGTGCACATATATTGGCATCATCTGTGTGAATATCAACATACTTGTTCAGCTTATGTTAGTCCAACACAGGACACACATACTCCTTGTTCTTTTGTATCACTGCTATCAATAAAATTAGGCCTCTCGGATGGACCTAGTTCTTTTTCGGGGTATGGTTGCAACCATCTGTTGTCTAGCCATGTCTGAAAATCTCATTCATATTCTTCTCTAACTTGTTTGGTCATGTGATACTCAGGCACTGTATTTTTCAGTTGTTCTGGTGGATGACCATTTATCTATTTCCAGGTTGCAGTCCAGATTTTTGTGTTTTTGTCAAGTTCAGTGCTAGAGTCTGGTTCATTGATTTTAATTCAATTGCAAGAATACAGCCCTGCCTGAGGTGATTATTCAAATTCCATCAAACTTTCTTTCAGGATGAGGTTGAATCCCAACAGTTTACTTTCCACTACTAGAACTGTGACTTTAACTAGATTCAGGTCATATATTTTCAGCTCTATAGTACTAATTCCTTGGCTATCAATACATTCACATTCTTTTCGCTCCAAGCAAGACATTCTGAGTTATTCATGAGAAAGCAGGAATAGACCAAATCCATTAATGCTGTACACAGTTTATCATTTATGCACACATTTATCACTGGGAGTACTTCACATTTCTTATATGGAGAGGGGACTGGCACTGGTATCTTGTGCCCTTGTTCATTTCTCTGACACTGCACAGCCTAGTCCTAGATCTAGTCCTTGGCATTGAAAATGCTGTACTTGTTGGCAGGCCTTTCCTGGATGGCTAGCACTCATCCCTGTGGCTCAGTACTGGCACACCTTGGTATAATGATTACATTCAGAGTCCCTGCAACAGATGATTTTGGTAGGACACTATGAAGGTTAATGGGAACATCCATTTCAATTGAAAGAGTTGGTTGCCATGACTGGTTCTTCAGCTGTCATTTCATCTTTCATAACTGCACAGGCCTAGCCAGTAGTTGACTTACATTCACATATTGTCTTTCTCAAAGACACTCGCAGTGCTTGTTTCACGTGGTTCAGCAGTCCTACCACAAGAGCACATGTCAGACCCAGTACAAATTTTCAGCCAAACTAGGAAGCAAACTTTGCATGTCTGCAAGATATACATTAACAGACTCTCCAAAGTGTAGATGTTGAGCCATAAACTCTTTGTAAGCCATGAATTTGTCTGCTGAAAAAGCAATTTATAGTGCTCTCTTTATTTCTGTGATGTCTGACTTTTCCTCCTTGCTCTGCTGTTGATACACAGCAAAGGTTCCGCTGTTCAAACACAATGGAAGAATGAGTTTTTTGTCCCAGTTTTTGAGCCATTCAAGTACAGGTGGGTCCATAGCTGTACCATCAAATTCATTTTCAAGCATAGCTTCAAGTCAAACAACTTGTCTGCCATCTCTTAAATGCCAAAATAGCTTGTATAATAAAGTTCACAAAGTTCAAATTTCCATGTACACACCCATGCAGCCTTCTCACAAAATTTCTCTTAGTAGGAAAAGTCAGTTGCTTTTATAGCAGTTTGTTGGACTCTTTACATGGAAATGGATTAGCATATTTTTCTATGCATTCCAATCTACTCAGTGACACTTGAACCACAATTGGTTAACAGAGGCTACTTTACAGGAGTTCAACAGTGAAGTATTGTTCTTGCTTTTTTTCTGAAAAAGCAGCATGTGACACAAAAGTGTTTTGGCCTTTAGACTATGTCACCATTTTCTTCAGTACAGTTAAAATCTGTCAAACTTTAGATAATGGTGAAACTGGGATGGTTGATTTGACAGGGTTTGGCATGCTGGCCTTCTTCACAAGCTCAAAGGTTATGGTATTTCTGGATTCATTTTTTCTCTGATTCAATCTTTTTTATCAAACTGCAAAATTAAAGTTGTTTTGAATGGCCACTCTTTTAGATTTTTTGAATAAGGTAGGTGTACCCCACTGCTCTATCCTTGAACCTACATTATTCTTAGTTTTCATCAATGAACCTTCCTGATGTCATCAGTTCTCAACTTGATATCTATGCTGATGACACAACTATTTACTCTTGTATTAATGGTAAGTCTGATCAGTTTGATAAGGTGAAATTAGCAGCTGATCTCATAAATTACCTACTATCTGTTGTTAACTGAGGAAAGAAATGACTTCTAATTTTAATGACTCCAAAATAAAACTGCTCTGTTTTAATCATCTGTGAGAACCTTTTTCACCTTCCATCAGCATGGCTGATGCTAACTTCCAAGTGTGTGACTCTTTGCACCTTCTTAGGCTAATGTTTTTCTGCTGGCATGAAATGAAAAGATTATATAGAATCAATTGCTAGGTCTGCTGCTGAAAAAGATGGTTCAATGTGTTGTGCTAGAAATTTTTTCTCGCCAGAATCTATTTTACACATAAATTTATTTTTCATCCATGCATTAAATACTATCATTACATCAGATCTGGGGCTTCTGTATTTAGAGATTCTTGATAAAAAACAAAGAAACATATGCAATATTATCTGGCATCTCGGCTTCAGTTACATTCCCACTACTATAACATAGTTTCCCTATAAATATTTTTCTATAAATAGTTTCCTGATAATTATTCTTGTGAGTTTTCTACTTTGGTACCTAGTTTATTTAAATTATTTGAATTTAAGTATACTATTAGATTGGCTGTAAGGTCTCATCATTTTACAATTGAAATGGCTAGATATAACTGTATGTTTTATGCTAACACATTTCTCACTTGTGGAACTCACTTCCAGCTTCTTGTTTTTCAGTCAAAAATTTATATGCAATGTCAATTGTGTGCTGAATGTATATCAGTACAGCTGCCAAAAAAAACCCAAGTCACAAGTGAACATGTCTGTCAAAACTAGTTACATCCAGGTTTTTCCTGTTAGCAACAGGGAAGCTTGGCATGTCTAGATATTGGCCTCTCTGCAACTTTTCCAAATCCAGGTCTTTGTTAGCTCTCTCATGCCAATGAAAGTGACAGGAAAACCAGCAGTCAGCATTGAGCAGTTGGCAAGATTCAGTGTCATGTGTAATCATTCCCTTTGGCATTTTGTTCTTAAAGTTGCCATTTTAGGGTAGTGTTCTTTTGTTTCCACCCATCTCTTTTCCTTCTCTGCCTGTAGTTCTTGGGAGAGTAATAGGTTAAGTTTTTCTCCCATCTTCAACACACCCTTGCCATATTATCTTTTTAATTTTTATTCTTCCCTCCTTAATAATGTTTACTTTTTCTCATTCTCTCATTCTCTTGTGTTTTAGTGGTTTTATTGTCTCACATGAGAGTTATGGAATAAGTAGACAAGTCTAAAGAGAACATTCATTTCTTTCTCCAACCATTTCAACAAACTAAAAAGAATCTACTATCATTTTTTGGTCATCTACAAACCAATTAATGTTGCTATCTAGCAAATAAAATAAACCAAATTTTGTCAAAATTTTATGGCAAAAGTTTCTATATTCTCATTTGAACTAAAATCAAGTAAAATATTTGAAGAGATTATTTAATTAGTTTATGACTTAGGTTCCAACAGACAAATAGCTGTTTTCAATATTTTTACAAAAATATAAAGGATGTAATTATAGATATCTATTTACCCACTTTGAATGGATTGGGCTATAATTTTATCTAAATTTCATGTGATAAACTTTGAAAACTTTTGAATCACTTCAAAGAAATATAAAGAGAAACAAAATTCAACAATTCAAATCTATAAACTTAAAAACAAGTCAGTTATTATATCTCAACTTTTTGTTTTACCTGTGAATAATCTAATTTTGTAGGTATCCTTTCATATATTTTTAAAATAATTGAATATTTTTAAAATTAAGACTGCATATTATTGGTTGCATTCAAAGAAAAGGTATACATGTACTGATACATTCTTACATATGCAAAACAGATATTAAACTACTATATTAATGCTGGTACTTACCAAACTCTGCCATAAAAATGAAGAACTGTAATAATCTTTGAACAAAGTTTGCATACTAAATTGCAGATTTTCCTTGCTTCGTTCTTGCTTGCTTTCAATGTCTACAAAATAAAGAATATCAAATTTTTATTCTATTCTTTTTCATTCCAATTATGATATCACAATTTTGAATTTTAGAGATTTTTGCTTTTTTAACAGTTTATGCTCTTTGTTGTTAATTTTAATTTGTAAAGTTGTATGCATCAGCATTCTTCAGGTGATTGACATTTCTAACTGAACCCTTTATTTATGGGGTAGATAGTTCTAGTTCCACATGCTATGCCTCTTCAGTTATCTCCCTTTAACACAACTTTTCAAGTTTTTGTTCACCACTGCAGTAGCCATGTATTGAACTCACACCTCTCTGGGTCAAATTACTGGATCCAACAAACACTTTTACCCACTGTCTATGAGTATATCAGTTTATGGATTTTTGGAACTTAAACTTAATGCCTCAGTAAATTTTAACAGAGCTTATATTGCAATTTTTGTTATTATTTCTTTTCTCTAGCACTCTGTATTACTGGTTCCCATATTATATTCGTTTCTATGCTTGGCCAGCTTAGAAGGTTTTTGAGGTTTATCATATGTACTGATTCCTTACATATTTTCCAGTGATGTTCTGTCTATTATTCCAACCTCATCCTACAGGAAGTAGTATAACTGAATTAAAAGAGTGTCAAATATTTTTTGAGTTTTCTTTTATTCTTTTACGATTTCGGACCTTATTTTCGATGTGTTCACAGCCTGCATTAAAATTTTTTTGAATGATAAATAAACACTTTCGATGATTTAGTCTTAGTTTATCAAAGTTAGAACCATTTCAAAATTCACTAGAAGGACCGATTGGCCACGGGTTCAGTCAAAGGGGAAAAGCTGACACGAAAAACATAAAAATAGTACAGGTAATAAATCCGTTGGTAATACAAGTGGATCCTAAAACTGATCTACAAAAAGTGCACGATATAACATATATAACACTAACAGCATATAAATTTACACAACAAAATTCCAAATCACCTCATAATAGGGAGGAGTATATTTCAACCAACGAAAAATGCAGTTTTTTTTAGTTTTTAGTCTTCCTCTTCAACCCCAGTGTACAGACTGTTCGTGTTGGAATTAGAAATTTACAATGTAACTTAAACTCACATACACACATATATATATATATATATATATACACACACACACACACACACACACATATATACCGTTTTTTAAAAAAAATTACATTGAAATTGAAATTTCCAGTATTTATTCATTAATGAATTAACCGTTAATTCATTAATGAATTAACCGTTAATTCATTAATGAATATACTGGAAATTTCAATTTCAATGGAATTTTTAAAAACGGTATAATTTTTTCTTCACATGTCCAAAAATGTGCATGATTTTGTTTAGGAGTATTTGGGTGCAGTTCGAATCACACCATTACAGATTGACTGCAGACAAAAATAAGTAAAAGAATGACCCACAATGGAAGTTCGATTTTGCAATATTTACGATATAAACTGGACCCTGATTTTGTGACCGATACTGACATCGAATTTGTGGAAATGCCTTTCACTGAGATTTTTAGCTGTAGCGGGGAAAAATGTAGCAATTCACTTTACAGTTGTGGAGAGACTACAAGAAGTCACTGAATGTTGTTTATGCAAAAAGGGCTAAAAAGTGATTGCCTTACCTAACTAACTTCATATACATTCAATAATGTTTGTTTTTTTTTCTTTTCATAAAAAAGTGAAATAATTCAAAAAAACACAACTAAATAATTAAAAATTATATTTTTAAAAAGCCTTTCTACTAACTAAAAAAGTACAATGGAAATAACAAGAAACAGAAATTGAATAATTAATAATAGCGTCAAAAATTGTATCTAATTCACCCAACAAAAAGGATTAAATTTAGATTGGGTTTTCTGAGATTTGACCAGGTCTTGTTTTCAAAGTTTAAAATCTGCATTCAGAATATCAGGCGAGGTAACGAAATCTAAAGAAGGTAAATGCGAAAATAATTTAAGACAATAAACTAGAAGTTACCCAATATTTTTGGAAAGTAAAATAAAAACTTTTTATTTTTTTATTCTACTTTTTATTAAAAAGTAAATGTACTTTTTTTTTTACCCTCAGCACTTAAACGCTTTTTGAATCTTTTGAAATGTGTGTATGACCGTGTTTCTCTTTAAAAAAAATTTAAAAACTGAATTTGTGGAATTTTCCGGTTTGTAAAATAATTTTAAAGTATTTTTCATAAAGTAGTGAAGTGAGATTTAAACCAAAATTCTTTCTTCTCCATTATTCGAAGAGCAGAGATTTTCTTTTTGTTTTGATTCCTCAGGAACCAACCTAAAGTTTCTTAACACTGAAAAAAAACAGACTGGATTGAGAAACTCACCGCTATGTCCTTGCACACAAATATTCCAAACAAGTAAAATAAAAAAAACAGTCTTGGTTTTGCAATCCATTTTCTGTAAATTTTTAACGAATAGACTTTCACTAGAAATAAAATATCTTTGGTTTTTGCTTGTAGAATTTTTGGACTGCTACTGATAAAAACTCGACTGAGTAAAAATAAAATCGTCTAAGTGAATTAGGTCAACATGTTCACATTAAATGACTTTTGGAATGTGTGAGAACTAAAATTGATAGGCTTTAACTAGTGACGTACATAGAAATACGCAATTGTTCTTTACAAGCAAAACAAAAAAGAGAACAGGATACAGGTCATAATGAGAGTCAAATAGCATGGAAATGTGAAAGTCAGTTTATTGCAAATTTTTTTTGCAACAATTTCTTCAAACTGAACTACTCGGATAAGCTTAGTCTGACTTAAGATCACGTATGTTGAGCATTTAGTGAGGTCCGACATCACTACAATTAATTTTTTATTTACTAAGCTTCTTAGCTTATTTGGGGTAACGAACCGTAATAATATCATCACTGTAGTAATAATTGACCGTGAAACTAACTAGTTTGTGGTATTTCCCCTAAAAGAGTGGATGTAAAAAAAAAAAAAAAAAATACAACCCAAACAAAAATAATTATGAGTGGAGTAGTAAACGCGATATGCAAAGGAAAATTTTATCGTTGGAAAGAGTGCTTACTACCTACACTAGTTACATTCGCTGACTCCAATACTTACTATAATATGCTCATATGATAGGAGTTTCAGCAACAAGTACTGTTAACTTTGGCATATGTTTTTTTAGTTCTGTTGATTCAATTTATAGAAGTTTAGCACTTTTTACGTGCCATGTCCCCACTCCCCAGGATGTGTATAAAAATTATGCTACACTACAGTAACATAAAACATTTTCTGTACAAGATATAAAAATTAAAAATGTTGCTTTCCTACCAACTCCAAGTTCTTGGGCCAGACACAACAAAACTTAGTTGGTGGAAACAGCAACTCTCGATAATAGGTGCAACTTAAAAAAAAACAAGACGATCACTGCGTAAATCTTTAAGAAACGATAACAATTACAAATTCGAAAAGTACAAAACAAGGGTTGCACAAAAATTTCCTTTTGTGCGCTTCTTTGGGCAGAACAACAATGAGGCAATAAAAAGACTACACTCAGAAACTAGGAAAAATACAAGTCACCAAAAATGTTGATAAGACCAACGGATTCGTATACAATACAAAAAATATACATTCAAAAAATAAAAAAATATGGGAAAAAAATACAATCCAGAATTTTCACCTAATAGCACCCCTCCCGCCTAAAGAAACAAAATAAAAATTGGAGCCGATCTGAGCCTAAGAAAGGGACTTAAAAGTCCATCAAATGGATATCTTCGGCAGTCGGAAGGCACAACAGCCAGGATTCACAAATCTCGTCAAAACGTAACCTCCCATCTCGAAAGACAACTTCTACTTATCACTTTCTTTCAACGAAAGACATTCACACCAATTTACCATTTGTTGTATTTTTACGTTAATACAATTGTTTATTTCTTAAATCTCTATCGTTTCTTCCTTGTTCTGCCACCATACGATTGATATAACGCCAATACAGTGCAACCTCGGTTCTCAAACGTCTCACATTTCGAACAAATCGGTTTTCGAACAGAAAATTAGAGATGAAAATGCCTCGGTTATCGAACAAAATTTCGGTTCTCGAACAACATTGCCGAACTGAGGTAATCCGAACAGAATAATTTCTGAGTCGACAGTCCTGTTGTATACATTCGCGTGTCGTGGCATGCTTTTCTTTTCCAGTTGATTCATTGATTCCTATTTGAAAATATTTTCAGTTTAGGAACATTTCGGGTTACGAACGGGCTTCAGGAACGAATTAAATTCCTGAACCGAGGTTCCACTGTATATGTAATATCCCCTTCCGAGTATTCAAAAAAGAAGAATCCCAAGATCTTGGCGCTTCGTCGTTTGAGCCTAAATGCACGAAAATTAATATTTTTCAACAAAATAAAATTTTTATACGTGTGGGCTATCATGGCTCTCCACAATTTCCTGTCCTTTATAGCTCTAAATATCTTTTCTTTTTGTTATTTCTTCTAAAACCTGTTTCACCATCCATTTACTCAAAGTCACTATGTTTCACATTGTTTTCCTCCGTGTCTCTTTCCTTCAATCTGTCCTGTGAGTATCAAATTTTCCAAGCCCTATTTACTCATTATGTGCCCGGGAAATTTAAATTTTCTCTTCTTAGTGTTAAGCATAGGTTTACTTTCTGTTTCCATATTCTCTAAAACTTTGTCGTTGCTCACATTTTCGGTCCCTGTTATCATCAGCATCCTTCTGTAGAACCACCTTTCTATTTCTTCAGGTCCCTACTTCATCTTTGGGGTGATTGTCCAGCATTCTCTACCATACAGGAGGACATATATCACGTAACAGTTCAGTAAGTACTCTTTTCTTTGTTCTAACGAAGTTTTTCTGTTTCCCAATACTCTGCTTAGTTTTGGGGGTGCATTTTTGGCTATCCGAATGCACATTTGGTTTTCAGTATCGCATTTTCCGTCCTCTGTTAAAACACTTCCCATATATATTTAAAATTTGCACTTGTTTGATTTTGGTATCTCCGATTTGTAATTTGCATTTTGCTAACAACCTGCAGTTGATGTTTATTCCTTTCTTCTCGTTTTCCTTCTCTTTCCGTGTCTGCTATCATCATTGCGTCATCTGCAGATCCTATGTTGTTAAGATTGTGGCCACCAATAATGAATTCTGGTAGGACTTCTAACTCTCTCAGAAACGTCTCGATGTATAGATTGAATAAGTGAAAAGACATCCTTGTCTTATATCCGCTTTCTATTTTTGTATATCCGCTGAACTCATTTTCTATCCGTATGCAGCGGTTTACTCTAATATCCTTCCCAAATACGTTAAGTTTGCTGAGCGGTTTCAATATAGCTTTGTGGCGTACTTTATCGAACGCCTTTGCGTAATCTATAAAACAGGTACACGTCCTTCTGCATCTATATTCTTTTTCTGAGCATAAATTGTTCCAGTGTCTATGACGAAATCATCTAAGGCTGCCAGAATCTCTTAAAATTCCGTTTGGCCCTACCGCTTTGTTTCTGTTTAGTTTAGTCAGTGTAGATTCTTGTTCAGATTTGCATATTTCCAGTCCGTCGATAATTCTTTGTATTGCCAGTTGTTCTCGTTCTCCAATATATTCTTTCCATTACTAAAGTATTTTTTCTCTAATATCAACATTACATTATTGGATTTTATGCGTCCTGTTGATGAGCATGTCTTTTGTCCTGTTAATCCTCTTATTTTTTAAATGCATATCTTATTTGTGATACTCATTCTTTCTATTTCCACACATTTTTCGCTGAACCATCCCTCTTTAGCCTGCCTGCATTTGTTCCTTATTTCTTTGTATAGTATTCTATATTCAGTTTCATGTTTTAGCATTGTTTTTTGTCTTCTTTCCATAATGTCATGAATTTCATCTGTCATCCATTCGTTTTTCTTTTCTTCGTCTATTTTCTTTTAGGATGATCTCGATTGGTGATGTTACTAAAGTTTCTCTTAATGTCTCTTCGATTTTCATGCTGTCCCTTATATCTGCTTTTCACACTGTTCGTATATTTCTCCTTCAAATTAATGTTGCACAAGAGTCTGTCATATTACAATTTGGGTGCAGCTTCAGGTTACTTCAATTTCCATAGTTTCAATCTAAGTTTACATATCACTGGAATGAGATCTCTTCTACAGTTGGCACTTGAAATGCTTTGCAATGTAAAACTCTATTCCTGGGTCTCTTGTTGACACATATGTAGTTGATGTGTTTTTTGTTTTTGTTTTTTTGTTTTTTGTATGTTTGTTTTTTTGTTTTTTTTGTTTGTTTTTTTGGGGTTTTTTTTCACTCCCTGGGCTTCATGGAGAAGTGTGACACAAATCGGCAAAAAAAGAAAAAAATGATGTTACTTATTTGCTAATTATTCTTAATTAGTTTCATTCATAACTCATTGATATAACATTTTACTTTTCATCATCAGAAATTATCATTTCTTTTCATACACCTGTTAAATTGACTGGTGGATGTGCTTCTGACTTTTGAGTTTGTCTTAAATCTCACATTCTTGTGTCACAGCAGCTATCTCCACTAGACAATTGTCAGTGAGTGGCCATATTGATCTGATGAAATTTGGCTTGGGTTTCAACTTCATCATTCAACAGGCACATTTACTGATTTTTCTTTTCAATTAGAGGCCCCCCAACAGTGTATCCGCAATTATCTTTCATGCATAATGTTGACTTTTGGATGAAAATGATTGTCGAAGTTTCGAAAGGAACATTCCAGTTGTTCATGGTCTGTATCAATATTGTAGGATGTATATATGTGCTTGGCCTCAGTTCCCACTGTTACGTGTTGATAATTGTAACAAAGAAAAAAAAAATTATTTACCACAACACAGAGCTAAATCACAAACAAATATTTAATTTACTAAAACAGAACATAAAATATATACAAGATAAACAATTGTGGCCTACAAAACAGAAAACACAGAGTTACTGGCAAGTGTTACGAGGGAGAAGGAAAGGGAGTCAAATATCTTAAATCACTTTAGGGCTAGTGAAGTAATCTAAGTGCTATATTTGGAAATCCACAAAGGTGTGTAAATAAATATTAATTTTTTTGTTTGGTCAATGAAAATTAGTCAAAATTCTATTTACCAAATTTGTTCCATGAAATTCTCTTTTGGGTTTTGGTTGGTCGGCAACTTTTTATAGAGATTCTTTCGGCTGGATATAATAGTCCTTGAATCAAAAGCCGGAGTTGATACTGACAGCAATCTGTTTTCACCAACTGACAACCCTTTTCCAAAATCCCATTTTTATAGGGGCTAACACCTAATTTGCATATTTCTAGATGTTTCTCGAATCATCTAGATTTTTCTCGAATATACTAGAATGATCTAGAATCTTCCAAACATTCTATTTCTAATTTCTCTATTTTACAACTACTTCATGAATGAAAACTTTTTT